TTTGGTTTTTCTGGCCATGACGGGAAGCTACTTGGAGAGTTTTAAGCCAGGGAGCGACTCAGCTAATCTGGGTGATATGCTAGAAGGTCCTCCCAGGCTGCTGTGTGGAAGAAGAATTTTAGGGCAGCAAGAGTGGAGACAGGGAGACCTGTTGCTGCAGGTGGCCAAAAGTTGAAATGAGGCGGCTTGGCCTGGAGTTGAAGCACTTGGAGATAGTGGCAAATGACTGGGTTTTGAATCTAAAAGTACAAAGTACAAAAGTATTTTGGAATTATAGCTAACATGACTTGCTAATGGTGTGAATGTGATTCTGAGGAAAGAGACTCTAGGTTTCTGAATTGAGCCGCTGGGAGGATGGGGATGTCATCTTCCAAGGTGGGGAAGACTGGGTGAGAATATCTGTTCTCAGAGAGGGGATTAGGAGTTCCATTTCAGATGAGCAATAGGAAGCTGGATGCATGAGTCTGACACTCGTGGGCATGGTTAGGTCTGAAGACATCAATGTGGGGGACATCAATTTATAGATGTGTCATAGATAGTACTGGATCAGATCATGAAGGAGAAAATATATACAGAGGAGAAGAGAGCACAGAGAACTGGGCCTCAGGGCATTTTGCATTTAGAGACTAAAAAGAGGAAGAAGAGGTGTCAAGGGAGATCAAGAAAGTGAGGTGGGAGAAAAACCAAGAGAGGCTGCTGCCTAGAAGCCAAGAGAAGACAGTGTTTAAGGAAGGAGCAGAAGCTGAATGTGGCTGAGGGAGTAAGATGAGGCTGAAGAACTGACCACTGGATCTGGCAACCTTGGAGGCCATTGGGGACCTTGACAAGTGCAGTCCTGACTGGAGTAGGTTAAAGTGATGAGAAAGTGGAGATAGCAAGTACAGACAACTATTAGAGGATTTCATTTTTTGGCAATGTGATAGTAGCTGGAGAAGGATGGGGAGTCAAGAGAAAATTTTTAAAAAGAGAGAGATAAAAATGTTATAGCATATTTTCCAGAAAGGGAAACTGTGAGGCAAAAGAGAGAGGCACTAACTGTGGAGTGCAGAAGAAGGGGTGAAATGTCCAAGTGGAAGGGCGGTATCCCAAGAGCAGGGATGTTCGTCTGTGTTGCAGGGGAGAAGGAAGAGCTGTTGGGTGCTCATACCCAGGGGTTGGCAGAAGTGGTGGTGGGGAGATGAGCTGGCTTACTGCTTCTATTCCCAGGACCTATGGCTCCTAGCTGTTAGCTGAAATGAGGGAGAGGTGGATGGGGACTTGAGGTTTGAGGAAGGAGGAGAAGGTATGAACAGTCATTTTGGAGAGTAGGGTTAAAGTTTTAGGAAAATGTAGCAGTTCTTAGAGGTGCTGAGTGTCCACTTGAACTTTGTGGTCAGAAGTTTAAACTGAGACCAGTCAGTCCAGCTGCAGTATTCTCCAGGTGCTCAGGAACAGGTGCCACGTGAAGAGTTGGATTTAAGTAGAGTCAGGGTCTTGTCAGGTGAGCACTGGAGAGCCATAGAAAGACAAGGGAGTGGAGAAAACCTATGAACTGGGGGTTAGCTGGGGGTCTGTGGAGTCTAAGGTGAGAAAAGAGGGCAAGGAGGATGTGCATAGTGGTGGATCAATGGATGGGGAGAAGGATCACAGGAATGGGAACTAGGGTGGGTGAGCCAGAGATAGGAGATGATGCAGCTCTTGGTATAGACAAGGTCTAGGCATGAACACCCATGTGAGTGGGTTGGATGAATGGGGAAAAAGATTGTTGGAAACAAGGTAGTCAAGGAGCTAAGAGGCCACAGTATTGTGAAATCAACAGGAGTGGTAATACTTGTAGCAGTGGAGAGAGAGACAGTGAACCAGGGGCCAAGATCATCTGAATGAGAGGGAATAACCAGGATATCTTACTTGCATCTCAAACACAACGTGTCTGAAACTGAAGCCACTCATATCTTCCGACTCTACTAAATGACACCAGCATCCAGAGCCAGAAACTTGTGTCACTTTGATCCCCACACCCAGTCAAATTACCACATCTTTTTGATTCTATCTTGGGAACGTTTCCTAAATCCAACTACTTTTTTCCATTCCCACTGCACACAGCCTAGTTGTTCAGGGCATTGTTGTTTCTTGCTCAGACTCTTGCATATGATTCCAAACAGGAAGCCCTGCCTCGGCCCCTCCACACAGAGGTCAGAGACACTGCAAATTAGATCATGTCACTCTGTGCTGCTTCTTTCCAGGAGCTTGTCCTTGTCCTCAGGATAAAGTCCCAAATTATTAGCAGGGATTTGCAAAGAAAGCACCTCAGGATCCAGCCCCTGTCCTTGTTAGCCTGACTCTTACACTAGCCCCTCGCCTGGCCCAAGCCCTCTAGTGTTTCTTTCAGTCTTTGTCACCAGTTTTGTTCTTCCTTTGCAGATGCAGTCCCCTCTGCCTGGAATCCCACTTCCTTTGCTTGGTAAAAAACTCTGCTTTCTCTAGGTGTTAGCCTGAGAAGTGTCAGAACCCTTTCCTGGATGCCTGGATGTTGGCTCCTCCTTCTTCTCTCCCAAGTACCCTGTGCTTCCCCAGAGTGCCACAAGTTTAGTATTCTCTAGGACATGAGCTCCATGAAGTCAGGTGCCGGTTCTGTTTTTGTTTTCCCAGACAAATCCTTAGCACCTAATATGAGGCGTTCATATAAAAGCGAACAATAAAAAAACAAGTATTTCCAGGAATGGAAGGTTCTAGAGGGGGAATAGTTCTGGGTGATGACAGTTCTGGGGCATGTTCCTACAGGTAGGTAGTTAAACGTCTTGGAGGAGGGGGTCATGGGATGAAAAGGAGAGGGTGATGCCCAGGTGGTCTCTGGGGCCCCGGGTCATGGTAGAATAGTAGGAAGAGACGGTCCTGGGCCAAGAGCTCAGTCTTTATTGAGTGAGGAGAAGTAGGTGGTAGCTGTTGGTCAGGAAAGAAGGTAGAAGAGGAAGATAGCAGGGGCTGAGCCAAGTGGGGAGCTTTCAAGAAGGTGATGGTAGTAGATAGGTCTGAGTGGTGGCGAGAGCAGTGTGGGTGAGAGTGAGGATAAGACCGTCCTGTGGCTGAAGTTGTTCTTAGAGGATTAGTACCAGCCCCTTCCGGAGTCCTCCACCTGGCTCAGTAGCTGAGGACTTGAGACCTTTGGGAACGGCATCCAAGGAGAGGTCACCACGGGAGATGCCAGGTCCTGAAATGAGTTCACCCTATGCTGGACCTGAGTGCCTGTAGCCAAGGCTACACTTCTTAGCCTCCTCCCTCTCCCTCTTTCCTCCTTCTCAGGCATTCAGATCCCTGCCTCAGGCTCTCCCTGACATAAGACTCTGATCTTGTCCCATAACCAGGTGTGAGCATGGAGGTGACTCACGGACCACAGAGGACATAGCCCCTGACAGGCTCAGTAGATCTGTGTGAGCTTGAAGGGTCTCTTCCCTTTTTAAGGTCAAGTTTGTCCACCTAAAAATGAGACCTTTAAGCTGGGTTTTAGTTAAAACAATGACAACAATGGAAACATATAAGCAAATGAACACTTTGCTGGACTCCCTGGGCTAGGTGTGGTGGAGGATTCAGATAAACAAGACATAGTTTCTTCCCCAAGCAGCTCACAGCCTATTTACTCATTTAACAAATATTTATTGAAGGCAGCAGGGACCTGATGACTCAGCGTCCCGCCTGTATAAGGCTCACAGACTGACAGGGAGACACTCAGGGAAACTGACAATTCCAATTTGGGGAGAATGGCAGGCATGAGCGAGGGTGGCACAGGGAAGTCTGTCTTTGAGGCTTGAGGGAGGGCCACAGAGGTGGCAGGAAGGGCATTCCAGACAGAGGGAGCAGTGTGACAAAGGCATGAGGCATGACACAGGTGAGGTGTCTGCTCTGGGAACCACGAGCCCTCTGGTAGTACCAGTGAGTAGAAAGGAGGAGGGAGCTGGAGATGAGGTTGGGAGGTCAGCAGGGGCCAGGCTGAGGGCATGGAGGGGGTGTGATGGTGGTGGAAGAATTTTCAAAGTAGGAGGAATGACACGGTCAGATGCATGTATAGATAAGTCACTCTGTCCCCGTAGTGGAGTAAGTAGTAAGACTGTTGGGCTGGAGGAGAGGAAGGGTGGATTCAGGAGTACTCTAGGGGTTGGACTCAGTGGAATTTGGTGTAAGTGGGATGTGGGGTGTGAGGGAGGTGGATGACAGGCCTGCTCCTGGTGTGGACAGCCATGGAAGTGCCCTGCATGGGCGGGGGTGGGACATCTGTGAAGAGGGCAGGTCTAGGGGAGAGGATGAGGTCAGTTGGGAGTTGCCTAGCATGAGATGCCTGTGGGCCTCCAGAGAGTTGTCCAGTGGGCAGTTGGTGGGGCCCGGGGGCAGAGCCAGACTGAAGGTATGGTTTTGGGGTTGTCAAGGTCTGTCTGAGTGGTGGTGGGGCAGGGGAGGAGGAGGTTGCTTGTGGAAATGCATATTGGTGGAAAGAACAAGATGTTCCACAGACTTGAGGATCCATGCGGGACCTTTTTAGCACAGATGCTCTCATTGGGCCCTGGCCTGCGGGCTTATGACTCCTAGCCACTCTGACAGACCCCATCCCTGACTTGCTCTCAGCACTGTCCACTCTCACCGTCAGAGGGGACTCACCTATCTGAGACCTGTGCTGGGCAGGGCTGGGGAGGCCAGAATGCTGGAGACCGAGGCCTGATTCACACGCATGCCTCTGATGGACACTCACTGAGAACCGACTCCTGCTCGGCACAGGGCCTCCCGGGGTTCTTCTCCTTTTGCTTTGGTCAGCTGCTTGCAGCACCCAGAGGCCCCTTTGCTTGGCCCCTCTGCCTTGGGGCATTCTCCACCACGATCTGGGGGTACTCTCTGTGTACATATGGGGGGGATGGGTGAGCTTGGATCTGAGGCTGTCACACTCAGCTGTCCACTGAGTGATCTTGACCTCCTCTCCGAGGTCCGTCTGAGCCCCCATGCTTTCCTACCCGCCACTTCCCACCTGGTCCGCAAAGTACTGGGAAAATCATATTTATTAAGGGTTTTGACATACTCTGTTGCCATATACAAAATACCCATTGGTCATTGACCTCCCGCCCCCAAGGTTCAGGCCCCAGAAAACAAACCGCCCCGCACCCCTGCCCCCAAGACTGGCCCCTGAGAGAGCTTCCTGAGCCCCACAGCCACCCTCCTCACCTGCCCTACTACAGAAAAGATGCCACTGCCCTTGCCTGTTTTCCTGGGTGGCCTCAGAGAACATGAGGGGGGACCTGGTGATTCTACGTACTGATCTTGCTGGTTATGGATACCCACCTGCATCCATTGGGGCTGACCCTGCCTTCACTAGGATAGAATTCCCATTTTCAGGGTGCCCTTCCTGGGAGAGGACATATGGTGGGCACGTATCGGGTAGGCAAACCCTTCGCCGAGACCGCCGGTGCCTGGGGCTGAAGGTCTCCATGCACCTCTTGCCCACCAGGTAGAAGACCTCACTGAGGTTGAGCAGGATGCAGATGGCAGCTGTGGTCACCATGAAGTAGGTGAAGACCTTCTTCTCCGTGGGTCGGGAGATAAAACAGTCCACAGTGTGGGGGCAAGGGTCCACGGAGCAGTGCACCACGCGGGGCATGTCGTAATCCTGGTAGAGGCGGTGGAAGATGTAGAGGAAGCCGGAGTCCACGGCAGCCTTGAAGAGGAGGCTCAGCAGGTAGGTCCACCAGAGCCCGCCCCGCTTCTTGCTGGGGTTGTCATACAGGGACGGGGCACTGGGTCCGTGTTTCAGGCGGTGCCTGCGCTCGCGCTCCTCCCGGTAGGCCACGTGCATGACCACGAGCAGTGAGGGGCAGGTGACCAGGATGAGCTGCAGGGCCCAGAGGCGCACGTGGGACACGGGGAAGAACTCGTCGTAGCAGACGTTGGGGCAACCGGGCTGCTTGGTGTTGCAGACGAAATCCTTCTGCTCATCGTCCCACACCTCCTCAGCTGCTACCACATACACTAGCACGCGGAAGATGAAGACCACGGACAGCCAGATGCGGCTCAGCGCCGTGGAGTACTTGTTCACCCCGCTCAGGAGGCCCTGCAGAAACGCCCAGTTCATGCTGGCTGTGTCCTTGGTACCTCACGTGGATGGTCTACACCTAGGCGCTGGCTACTTAGGGTTTGGGAGCCTTGAGATCTTGGGGGAACCTGGAGATGGGCACCAGTCACGACTGGCAGTCCAGTTTCACAACCACTGTGTCATCATGTCCTCACTCCCAGTGGCTCGGAGGTGTAGGGACTGCCACTGTCCCCATTTCACAGGGAGTAAGGTAAGGCCCAGAGGCACCTGCCCAGAGCTCTGCAGCTGTAGTAGAGTGGGTCTTGGTCTTTAGGTTCCCAGATCAGGGCCTATTTTATTCTACAAAGTAATAGATACATGTGAAGATACTCACCTGGCACGGACATGCCAGCCAAACTCTTTTACCCCAAGTTTTAGCCTCGGGGTCATGGGACTTCTAAAGAGCCAGCAAGAAGGGTTGGATTGGCTGACCTGCTCTCCCATCATTACCCGGCCTGGACCAGGGCGGGAGAGGATGGGAGAGCATCCTCATCAGTTATCAGACTCATCCCTCTTTTACTGAATGTCAGCGAGGTACAGTCACATCAGCCCTGTGGCAGATCCCAGAACAATTTCTATCCTTGCTCTTCCTCTCTGCCTCCAGGAAGGGTTCCCGCCCCAACATTCCCTCCCAAAGCAAGCAGAGGTTCTTTGGAATCATGGATGCTCGGTGTCATCCCTGCTACTCCCCATATTGGTCCTGGGGCCTGAGAGCTGACTGTTTTGACCACTCTGGAATTCCAGCCATTCTTGCTTTAGGGAGGGACTGGGGAAAGGGCAGGGGTCGGATTCTGGCATGGTCTGTGCCCCACCATTTGCTTTCTTCCTCCAGGACACCCTTTCCTCTGTCTACTCAGTGGCTGTTTGCTAGCCAAGTCCCCATTGTGTCCATGCTCATCTTGTGCTCCAACCTCCACCCCCCTTATCTGGAGTCCCTATCATGTCCCATCCCTGAGCCCTGCCCTCCTCTGCCCCTGACTCAGACTTCATGTCCCTGGGACACTTTCAGAGCACCCTTCTCTGATTTTTGTGGCAGGAGGTATCACCCACATGCAGATGGTCTAGGTACCTGTTTTTCTTGCCAGACTGTAGCCGCTGGAGGGAGGACTCTACGTCTCATTCATCTCTGTCTCTCCAGGACGCAGCACCCAGCCTGGCCCAGTGAACACACAACAGATGTTTGTTAAACTGAACTGAAACCCACTATTTCCTGATGCTTCCTCTTCCTTGCCCCTTCTCTGGCCCTCTGCCCTCCCTTTGGTCTGGTAGGACATTCCTTCCCCTCCTTGGAGCTTGCCTGGGTTTCTCCAGGGACCCTGACCCTCAGCCCCTCCTTGAAGCCCAGCCTACAGCCCGAGGTCCCCTGGATATCCTCAGCCCAGCTGGTCCCTTGCTTCCTGGCCTAGTCTCCTGTCCTACTTTGTCCTCACCCTTCTTGGGTCCAGTGGCCGCAATCCTGTCCCTGGGTTTGTCCGTCTGCCTGAGGGCCTCCAGGAGGCAGTTTTTGTGGCTTACTCCCCTGCTGGGTGGGGCTTTCTGAGCCAATGAGCCAAGCGAGAGTGATGGGGTGGGCAGGCAGGAGGGCGGACTTCCCCGGGCGCATATTCAGAGCAAACACCTGTGGCTCCTCTCCCCTGGCCCACGCCTTCTCTTCTAGCCTTACTGGGCATGGCTGGGCCTGGCTCCTGGGCTGCCAGGTATGTGGGTGAGACTGCCATGTGAGGGACAGAAGCCTGGGGTCATCACGCCCAGGCCCAGGACAGCACCATCGGTGTCGCCCCTGTCCCCGTGCCGTTGCTTCACTGCCCCCACCTTCCTGCCCTTTTCTCCGGAAGCTTGCTTCTGAGGGCCTCAGAGCTGACATCCACGGAAAGGGGCAACCTTTATGCAGTCCAGGAACACATCCCACCCTGGGGGGGATATTTCTGGGGACTAGAGCCTGCGCTGCTCTTGGGTTGTGGAGGGGACAGGGTGGGGAGGGGGCAGGTGGCTATGTCTTTTCTGGATCAGGGCATCTGCTGCCCTAATGGAGCCAAGGAATGCAGGTCAACTGTGTGAAATGCCTCTGTTGGCACGGGGCCAGGCACAGCCTCACTGTTCGTCCTCTGGGGGTCTGGGCCCCTAGTGGTCTGGGAAGGATCCCCAGGGAGGACCTTGGAGACCCCGCGTGTGCTGTTGGGCCTTGGGCCTGTGTCCCGGCTGGGACAGTGAAGGTTAATGTGCAGACAGGGAGGGGCCTTCGGCTTCATTTCCCACAGCATTTATGGGGCACTTCCTAATACCAATGATTAACATTTATGTGTCCTTTCACAGCTGACTAGCCCTCTCCACAGCCATGAGCTCATCAGCCCTCCCCACAGCCCCACAGGCTAGGTATTACTAACCCACTTTGGAGAGGTGTTGAAGTCACTTTCCCAGAGTCCCAGTGGGACATGGATTCGAATGCAGATATTCTGAGTCTAGAGTTCATGAACTTTTCATTGCAATACGCAGCTCCCCACAGACCAAGCTCCATTCTCTGCAGACAACCCACAGGCCGAAGCTTGTGACTGGGGACTGGTTAGACTTGAGCACGAGAAAGTAGCATGGTCCGTAGGAGTGCTGGGGTTGCTTTTTCTGCAGGGCAGGATGGCCCCTCATCTGACTGGGTCAAGTGCTGCCCTTTGCAGGGACCGATTGATACAGTAGATTGATGAGGGTCACAAAGGCCAAATGACCAGAAGGCACCTGGAATCAGCAAATGAGTTGACTTTATTAAGCCCTGACAGTGGGCCACATACACTGAAGGGGCCAGCATATCTGTTCTCTTAGGAAACCCCTCCTCACAGCAGCCCTGTGAGGTGGCCCTCAGTGTCTCCCATTTTACAGAAAAGGAAACTGAGGTGCAGGGTGGGGGAGTGACTCCCTGAGGCCACACAACTGGGGCAGGTGGCTGGAGTTGAGGAACGAGAATTGGGTCCCAGGCCATCTGAATCCTCCCTCTCGCCTACCCCTACCTCACAGATTAGCTCCCCTACTCCCAGGATGCACCTACGAGGGATGCTGGAACCTTCCAATCCAGGTTCAACCCATCGACTCAATCCAGGCAGCCCCTCACAGGAGGGTCTTCTTCACGTGGTCTCGAGGGCGGTCCAGTAAAAGAGGTGGGTGAGTGTCTGAGCCCAGAAAGATGAGGTCGCCTGAGAGGAGGTCGTCCTGTTTGTAGGAAGAGGAGGTACAGTGCTGGTGATACCCTGTGCATGTGGCTCGGGCTCTCCTCGCTGCCAGGCACTCGCGGCACCGCTTGCCCACCAGGTAGGCCAGCTCCACAAGGTTGAGCAGGATGCAGATGGCGGCTGTGGCCACCATGAAGAGGGTGAAGATATTCTTCTCTGAAGGCTTGGAGATGAAGCAGTCCACCACATTGGTACATGGAGTTGCATGGCACTTGACCACAGGAGGAAGGGTATACCGGGGGTAGAGGGAGTGGAACACATAGAGGAAGACGGCATCCACGCTGGCCTTGAACACCAGGCTGCAGATGTACGTCCACCAGAGCCCACCCCGCTTCTTGCCGGGGTCCAGGTAGAGGCGACCGCCATCCTCCCCCGCGGCCTCTCTGTGCCTCTTCTCCCGAGCCTCCCGGTAGGCCACGTGCATGACCACGAGCAGCGAGGGGCAAGTGACCAGGATGAGCTGCAGGGCCCAGAGACGCACGTGGGACACAGGGAAGAACTCGTCGAAGCAGACGTTGGAGCAGCCGGGCTGGCGGGTGTTACAGTCAAAGTCCTTGTGGTCATCACTCCACACGCGCTCGGCTGTCACCAGGTACACCAGCACACGGAAGATGAAGACCAGAGACAGCCAGATACGCCCAAAGGCCGTGGAGTACTTGTTCACCCCACTCAGGAGCCCCTCAAAGATCCCCCAGTTCATGGTGGAGCCGAGCGTTGGCTGGGACTGCAGGGAAACGATAATAATGGTTTCCCACATGTTTTATCCTCACCACCCCTCACCAGGCTGCCCCTTTTGCCTTCTGTCATTGTCCCCATTTTACAGATGGAGAAAGCGGAGGTTTGAGGCATTCTATGAGGTTACACAACTATTAGGTGCAGAGCTGGGTAATTACTCCAGAACCCAACTCTGACCCATAAAAGTGGCTGAAGGCCGATCCAGGGAGCCACCGGGGCTCTGCTCCCATCATCCTGTGGCGACTCATGGAATTGGGATGTCCTGCCCACTCCCTCTGCTCCAAGCCCGGTCTTCCTCCTCAGGGGCTGAGGCCTTGGGTAGTTTCTCTCCTGAACACTGCTCTCTCTCCTCAGACGGCCCCTCCCAAATGGAACCCGTGCTTTGTCTTTTGCTTGGTTCAGGGGATGGAACTGGAAAGGAAGCTGGAACTGTGTCCCCAAATCCCCATCTGGTCTGATGCTCTGTAACTATCTAGGCAGTGTCCAGCTCAAGTGTGGCTCACTGGAAGCAAGGCCTATGACAATCCAGCTGAAAGATACATAGGTAACAATACCTCTCCTTAATCAAGAGGTTGCTGTGAAGGAGTAATGTGTGCATTCATGCAAAGGATTTAGAACAGAGCTTGGTGCAGCACAGCACCCATGGATGTGGGCTGTTACCACTAGGAGATCATGCAGGGGCTCGGGACGTCCTGGTGACCTTCAGCACTAACCTGGTATCCCAGTGTTTTGCAAACCCTGTCCCATAGGCTGGCACTAGGTGCAGTGAGAGAAAAGGATTCTGTGTTCAAGAAAGGTTGGCAAACACTGGGTACAGCAAAGTTAAATAAATCCCTTTGCTCAACCTTTGCTAATACGTTCACTCTGTGAGTCTCCAAAAGAGGGACAAAATATGTGGCATTGCCCACACTCCTTTGAGCACAGACTCCCTTCTGCCTTCTGACATAACTCATCTCATCAGTGGAATAGCCTTGTCAAGACCCCAGCAGGGGAAATGCCGCTAAGGTCACTTCTGCTGGTGAGTTGGGCTTGAACTCACGGAATCAGATTTACCTCCGCTTGAGGACGGTAACTACTTTGCAGAGTGACAGGTGTCTGCTATCTTCCTTGGAAGTCCTCTGCCTGATTCCTGGGGGTCCACTGAGACCCACGCACTGTGGCGGCACCTTGCTGTGCACCTGGGACCCCAGGGAGCTTGCCTGCACAGGCTCTTGCTCTAACAGGTTTATGATGACCTTCCAGTGCTGAAGGTCACCAGGGTGTCCCGAGCCCCTGCATGACCTCCTAGTGATAATAGCCAGCACCGATGGGGTGTTGTGCTGTGCCAGGCACTGCTCTAAGCCCTCTGCATGAATGCATATGTTATTCCTTCATAGCAACTTTAAATTCCCAATTGACAGATGAGGAAAGTGGAGCACAGAGAAGTTAATTAATTTGCTCACTGTCACACAGCTAATAAGCAGCAGAGCTGGGATTTGGACCCAGACAGGCTAGCTCCAGAGCCAATCCTCTGAGAACTGCCTGGTCTTGGGCCCAGGCTCCTTTCCTCAAGTTTTGGTGAGCTAGTCTTCCTGTCTATGCCCACCCCGTCTTCGACCTCGTAGGTCTGGGTGAGGGAGGCTGGGGATGCCTTTGCCCCCCACTCTGTCTCTCTATACCACCTACCACTTGGAAATGGGGCTCTGCTCTGAATCATCAGCTTGTCTGCTCTGTCTGCCAAGGGTGGGCGGAACTCCTGGCAGCTTCTCAGGGCACACCCAGGGAGGCCCCAGCCCTCAGGCCCCAGGGGCTCTCACCCAGCCCAGCCCCACTTGAGGCGGGACCTTGCAGGCCCAGGCAGAGCTGCTGCCTGCTGCACTCCTGGCCCCCTCTCAGGCCCTCTCCTACTCAGTTCCCTGCCCCCACCTTTGCCTGGCTGGGGTGAGTAGGAAGAACCAAGAGCAGAGAGGAAGGAGCCCTGCATGTCTCCAGCTTCAGGACCCAAGGTGGCTGATGGGGTCCACCCGCTCCCCTCCAGAGAAGTCTCCCCTCTCAGGTGTGCCAAGGGGCAGGCATGTCTGGACACAGAGCTCTCACCTGAGTGGCTACTCCTCAGGGCTCTACTGGCTCCTGGCAGCTGGCGGTGGGACTCAGTGAGCAGCCGGAATTCATGTCCAGAACCAGGGAGCATTTCTGAAGAAACTTTTCCTGGGACGGAGGCTGCCTGGGTGTGCCCTGGCCCAGCTCAGGAGGAGGAGGAGCTATGGCCATGCCATTGGCTGAGTCGCAGCCTCCCCAGACTGCCTCTGATGAGTCTCAGGAAACTCATCCTCCCAGAACGCTGGGCCCAGAATTCTAGCTTCCCTCAGGGGAGAACCACAGGTACACTCCGACCCCTGGCTCCTCCCATCCCTGGGCTTGTGGAGAGGAGCTGAGGCCTGTCGTGCCCTCACATTCCTATTCATAAACCCTCCTTAGGACTGCTCCCGTCTTCCATGGGCACTCCCCAGGTTCTCTTCCGTCTGGTGTCTCGCACTGGCCCTCCATTCTCATGGCTCCAGTTGCTTTTGGAAACGCCAGGCCTTCCAGACATGGCTCCGGCCCAGGTGCTCCAGCCCCTTCAATTGCCCCCGTTTCCCTTCTTCCATCTTCCTCCTCAGTTGGCCAACTCCTCCGAGAAGTTGCAGGAGCTGCACGTGGAGCCCACGACCTTCTACCTGGAGCCCACACCCCGCACCTGGACCCTACACACCTCCATCTGAAGCCCACACCCCTGCACCTGGGCCCCACACCCTTCCATCTGGAACCCACACCCCTGCATTTAGGCCCTACACCCCTTCATCTGGAACCCTCACCCCTGCATCTAGGCCCCAAACCCCTCTATCTGGAACCCATACCCCTGCCTCTAGAACCCACACCCCGGCATCTGGGCCCCACACTCCTGTATCTAGGGCCCTCACCCCTGCATCCAGGCCCCGCACTCCTGCCTGTGGGCCCCACACCCCTGCACCTGGCCCTACACCCCTCCATCTTGAATCCTCACCCCTGCATCGAGGCCCTGCACCTCTCTAATTGGAACACACACGGCTGCATCTAGAGCCCACTGCATCCCTGCATCTGGGCCCTACACCCATGCATCGAGAAACCTCACCCCTGCATCTAGGCCCCACACCCCTCCATCTGAAACCCTCACCCCTGCATCTAGGCCTCACACCCCTGCCTGTGGATCCCACACGCCTGCATCCGGACCCTACACACCTCCTTCTGGAACCCACACCCCTGCATCTAGAGCCCATACCCCAGCATCAGGGCCTCATACCCCTGCATCCGGGCCCTAAACCTCTGCATCTAGAGCCCTCACCCCTGCATCTAAGCCCCCACTCCTGCATCTGGGCCTTCCCTTGCATCTGGATCCTGCGTCCCTCCATCTGGAACCCTCACTCCTACATCTAGGTCCTACACCCCTCTATCTGGAACCCATACCCTCCTGCATCTAGAGGCCACACCCCTGCATCTAGGTCCCACACCATTGCATCTGGGCTCCATACCCCTCCACCTGGAGCACACACCCCTGCATCTGGGCCCCACACTCCTGCATCTAGAGCCCACACCCTTGCACCTGGGCTCCACATCCCTCCATCTGGAGCCCTCATCCTTGCTCTTGGGCCCTTAACCCCTACATCTGAGCCCCACACTCCTGCATCTGGGCCCCACACTCCCCGTATCCGGTTAGTCTTTACCTCTGCATCTGAGTCTCACACTCTTGCATCTGAGACCCACACCTGCATCTGGACGCCCATAACCTGGTTTTGAATCTCATCCCTGCCAGTTACTTACTTATTTATTTTTGAGTCAGGGTCTCACTCTGTCACCCAGGTCGGAGTGCAGTGGCACTATCACGGCTCACTGCAGCTTCAACCTCCTGGGCTCATGCAATTCTGTATCTGGCTATTTTTTTGATTTTTGTAGAGACAAGGTCTTGCTTTGTTGCCTAGGCTGGTCTTGAACTCCTGGGTTCAAACAATCTTCTCACCTTGGCAAGAATCTCAAAGTGCTGGGATTACAGGTATGAGCTACCATGCCAGTTTTTGATCTGGGTGATTTACCCTTCTTTGCCTCTGTGCAATGAGACATCTCACGCCTGTGAGGGGTGTCGTGAGAGACATGGGTGCCATGTGGTATGATGGCTGGACGCAGAGACTGCGTGGCTTGAACTTCAGCTCTGCCTCTTCCTCACTGAGGGATACCTCAGCTTCTTACCTGTAAAGTGGGAAAATAACAACATCCGCCCTCTAGGGTCAATGCCTAAAATCACCCTGCCTCAGAGGTAAGGTTATCAGAACAGTGGCTGGCACAAAGGAAGCCCTTTTCTACAGCTGCTTCTAATATCATCAACTGCGTAGTGCAGTCCTGGCACATGGTGGGTGTTTAAAAATGTTGCTTCCTCTCCTTGTTCCTTATTCCTGTGACTTTTCTTTCTGAATTGTGGGAAAAACAGAGAAGAAGGGAGGGAGAGATGGACATACTCACTAGAGAAAATCTCATTTGGATAGACATTGTTTTTGGGTTAAAAGGCTAAACCTGAGCTTGGCAGGCACTGTGGGAGAGGTGGAGAGGGTGAGCAGAGGCGCTGGGGAGGCCTTTTCATGAGTGCGCAGACACAATCCGCTGGCCTAATTAACTTCCAAGGTGCCCTTGTAGGCACCAGGGGTTGGAATTCAACAGACAGAGAGCCCAGGAGTCATGTACACCACCCAGTTACAAGCAAGCACAATGTAGTCTCATGGGTACACATATGGAGCAGTGGCTTTATCTTGTTCACTGCCGTACCCCCAGTGCTTAGAACCATGCCTGGTATCTGTCTAGTTAGGCTTCGGTTTTTATTCATTTAATCTGAGTCTCATGTTGCCCAGGCTGGAGCGTATTGGCACACTCATGACTACCACAGCCTGACCTGCTGGGCCTCAGCCTCCCAAGTAGCTGGAACTACAGGTATGTGCCACCATGCTTGGCTAATTGTATGGTTTATTGTAGAGACAAGGTCTTGCCAAGTTGCCCAGGCTGGTCTCAAGCCCCTGGGCTCAGGCTGGGCTTATAGGTGTGAGCCACCATGCCTGGCTTATGTTTACTGAATGAATGTTGTATGAAATGCACATATCCTGCAAAGAGAGGAACACACATCTATACTCCACACACTTTCTAAAAACTACTGTTAAGCACAGGGGAGAGGACACACATAGATAGATCACCTACGCTCTTGTGAGAAGTGCTACAAGAGACATGTGACAAAGAAGGGAGTGTCAAGTTCTGCCAGAAGGAGACACAGAGAAGGTGACGTTTCAGCTGGGTCTTGAAGGATGTGTAAGAGTTCACCAAGAGGAGGTAAGGAGGGGGGCCTTCAAGGCAATGGACACATAGTGTACAGAGGACCTCTGTGAAAGATGGAAGAGCATTAGAGAGTGAACAGGGCAGTGGTGGGGTCAGCACATGGCAAGGTGCCTGGAAGGTTGGCGAAGACTTTCTGGACCATGGAGGACCTGATATGTCACGCTAAGGAATTTGAATTTATCTTGTTTGCGGAGCGAGGCATGGGGAGTTCTGAACAAGGAAGGGATGTGGTCAGACTGGTACCCTTGATTCTTATTATTCAAGGCAGTTATGTTTATAAGTCACTGCATGAGCACCTTGCTTGAGAATATGGAATCATTGTTCCTAGGAGACTGTTCTGTGAAAGCGCCATATATACAGAGGGTGCCAGAAAAAAATGCACACACATTTTAAGAAAGGAAAAAACTGTATTAAAATTGTAATAATATATACCAAAACAAAAGATGAATACAAGTCATGTTTGACTTCTGCAATTACATATTGCTACCGTAATTCAATTCAACTTTGGAAAGTAATACATAGATAATGCATACATTTTTTTGGCACCCAGTATATAAACACATTTTAAGAGATGTTGTCTATGTATTACTTTTTGAAGCTGAATTAAATTATGGTAGCAATGTGTGATATTACGTTCACTCAGTCGTGCTTCTGCCATTTTCTTTGACTGTCCTGCCTGTCGCATGGTGACGCTAGCATTAACTTGATTAATGCCATCTTTTGAGCAAACATCATACTTAAAATATGTATACATTTTTTGGCACCCTGTTTGTGTGTGTGTGTGTGTGTGTGTGTGTGTGTGTGTGTGTGTGTGTGTGTGTAAATATGTGACAACCCCCAAATACCCAAGGGGCAGAGAAACCAAAGAAGGAGGCAGACAAATCTAATTTGTTAGTTCTGGGTGATTTATTGAGGGAATTTATAGACAGAAGTATAATCTTAGATGGTCACAAGACAGGTAGATCTCTGCACTGTTACCCCTCAGCCCCAAGGCTTATACATCACAAGAAGGAATATGTGTGCTCTGTGCAAGACAATGAAAGACAGTCCTCTAGGACAGGTAAGAATGCTATATACATCATAGCTTATAATTTGTGGGAAACATCAAGATTGCTTTGATCTAAAAATAAGAATATGTGTTCTTATACTATAGGCAGTAAATAAAGCAGAAATTGGGAGGTATTCACGGGACCAGGGTTCATCAGAAGTCAACATGGTGGATTGGCATCCAAGAGAGTCACTCTTGTCTCCGCAGGGACACACAAGGCTAGGTTCCTGTGAGTTTCTGTTTACAACAGGTTTAACAGCTCATCAACAGCTGTGTCTTATATGCATTTCTGTTAAAGACACCTTCTTTAATACATATTGCTGCTTCATTAATATTAAACTCATGGCCAGCACCATTATAACTCATGTCTGAATAAAACTTGTCTAACACACATATTTTCCCCTTAAGGCACATAACAGCCTTCTTGTGCTTAGGAACACTAGACAGCAACCCAGCACTGTGCTTGGGAGTCATTTTAAACAGTAAAATCACTAACAAAAGGCACAAAATTGAGAAAAACATGGCACTAGGTAGACCTCCAATAGGACATGTGTTTACAGTGTAGAGCTAAAAGGAGAAGGTGGTGTTGCCTGGTCAGCCTCAGCTGAGAATGTGTGCATCGGGCAGCTCAAATTTTTCCCATGTTGTACATGTTGTAAATGGTCACAAAAGTGTCTCAAGTATTAATTTTAGGGTTACCAATACATTTTAGTGAGTAGACAATCTCACAATATGGAATTTGTGAGTGAAG